TGCTCTGTCACCCTAACTGGAGTGCAGTGGTGAGACTGTGTCTAAAAAAAAAAAAAAAAAAGAATTAAAAACAGGAGAAAAGGTATGAACTCTTTTGGTTGCTGTCTAAGAACCACTTGGGACAGCTCCTGGACTTATGACAGTTAAGCAGTATTGTTTTTCACTTTTTTCTTTTTTAAGAGATAGGGTCTTGCTCTGTCACCCCAACTGGAGTGCAGTGGTGAGGTCATAGCTCGCTGCAACCTCAAACTACCTAGGCTCAAGTGATCTTCCTGCCTCAGCCTCGCATGTAACTGGAACTACAGGCAGGCACCACCACACCCAGCTAATTAAATAAAGATTGTAGATAGGGGGTCTTGTTTTGTTGTGCAGGCTGATTTGATACTTCTTAATATTTAAGGAAAGGTGCTCAACTTTGACCTCCATGGCTCTTCAATCATGTATTACACACATATGGGGAAGTTGGTCTCATGGTTCCATTCCACACAGAGATGAATTCAAAGAAACATGGACTATCAAAATATGTGCCAGTTATTTGTTTCTTTGCTTTCAGATCTATTTCCCAACTTTTCCTTGCTCTGCTGTGTCTCAGAGAGACTTATACTTGTCAGCCTCCTTGGCCCTCTGGCTTCTTGTATGTTTAGCTAAATTGAAGCATGGACAGAAGGAGAGAAGCCAGAGTGTTTCTTCCATGAGCTTTCTGCTTCAAGGGGCTGCATCCCACAAAGGGGCTGCATCTGTACTGAGGCTCCAGTTCCCACCAGTCAGCCCCTCCCTCTGTACAGGAGTTCCTGCTGGCCATCACCACCGTAGTTCTAGATCCTGCTAGATGGCCTTGGCTTCTGAGCTGGAGTTACACCACCTCCTCTCAGTTTCCCTCTAACCCTTAGGTGGTAACCACTTCCTGTAGTTGTTCATCTTTATGTTGCCTCAACAGCCCCTGTAGGGATTCTCCACATAACCATCACCCATGTGAACAATTTCCTGGTTTGAAATTCCCCTTGTTGAAATATGGTGGTTTCCATTTTTCCTGACTGGGTTTTGATACAAAAAGTAATTCGGATTTCTACTCATTTTCTCATGTGATTGAAGAAGTAAAGCGTATATGTCTAAAGAGAAATAAAGCACCTTAAAAATCTGCTCTCTCTCCTCAACTCTGCTGCTTTCAAACTCTTCAACAAAGGTGAATGTTGCTCCATTGAGCTCTTTGAAACTCACTGAAGTCTTCTCCTCTGTCCTCTCTCCACATTTTTCTTTCCCTGCCTAATGGTTCATCTTCCCCTGTCCTACATAAATCTTTAAGTCTTTCCTACATTTTCCCATCTACCTCCTGAAGCCTGTACTCTGCTAGTGAGGCAATGAGAAGGGGAACATGAATATGCATATACTAGGAAATAATGTTCCTTGTTTTACATAAACCTATTTCTTGAACATTTCCCACTCCCTTTTCCTCCCACCATAATTTAAGAAGAAAATTCAAAAAAGAAAGAATATTTTCCATGGATAATCAACCATTCCCTTCTATTTCTTTTTTCTTCTCCTTTATAAAAGTAATCACAGGGCTGTGAGTATCAATTTCTTGAGAACCTTAAGCACCTCAATCAGTTTCACAGCTGGAGGAACAGAGATCAGTTGCAATGAAGAGTAAAATCTTTCTTTTATGCAAAGTAACTTTCCTTTTGAAAACTTGTTTAAATGAAATGTACCATGCACTGCTTTTAGAAAGATAGGCACAAAGTTTCATAAAGAAGCAACAGGTACTGGTTGACTGCCATTGACTAGACACAGGGAATGAAGAAAACTGAGCTTCTATGCATTAGCTAACAGCTTATCTTCCCTCAGCTACATTGGCTTATATTGTCTCCTAAGCTGTTAGTGTCAAGCTAGACGGTGGCCAACATAAGGAAGTACTCACCACACCCAATAAACATTAATAGCCAATATACTCAGACTTGTGATTGAAATCCTAGATACCTCTAGCTGAGACAAATGAGAGAGAGGAGAAGCAGACCTATGTCTCCAGGAAATTCCCTGACTTTGCATCCTGAGTAAGATTCCTTCTTGAAAACTGAAATTAAAAAATAGGTTCCTAATTATTCCAAGTAATGTGTATGCAATTGCTGAATAAAGAGAGATGTGTTACTACACTGAGATTCTTAATTAGTTTTGTTCCTGGTGCTGATGAAAAATGAATTTCTGTTCCTTTTACCTCTGCCATGCATCCTGTTCTTTTCAGAACTGTCAAGCCCCCATTCTATATCCTTCTATGAGCTATGTGGACCTACATTCCTTGCCTGAAGATGGCTAATGAGAGGACTTCATCGCTCCTGGACACAGTGATTGTCCCGGGGATGGGCACTTGACTCGAAAAAAACCAATTAGTTTTTGCGCGATGGTGGGGAGTTGTTAGGGACCCTGGAGAAGAGAAGGTCAAACTTTTTATCTCTTTGCAAATGATGTATGCCTGGTGCTGCCATAGGCCATCTCTATGACCTTGCTCTAAAAAGCTGCATAAGAACTATACCAACACAAACAAAATCAGAATCAGTAGGTGGGTAAGGATATAGAGGTTTGGAGACAAATATGATGACAATGTTTGAATTCTTGAGTTTTATCTGCCTGAGATTCTCGGACATTTCAGTGTTTCTTGCAGATTGGCTTTCCTGGAAAGTGGAGTCTGAGATAAAGATTAGTGTTCGGGAGTAGTTTTACTATGGAGTGTTCTTGAAGGTAAATACCTGTGGAAGGGAGGGAAAGATAAGAAGGCAGGAGTTGGTATAAGGTGAAGTTGAAATATCGTGTGGTCATGTTAGGTAGATAGTTAGGATCTCAGGCTCTTCTCGGGACGAGGGTGCCCTGCTTT